TTTTTTGTGCAGTAAGCACAAGGTGCTTATTTTTGGATTTATACTGGAATGTGTGATATCTTTTGACTGCAAGTCAGTTCAACTGATATTTTGGTTTTGAAGTGACGGAATGTGATGTGGAACACTTCCAAAGTGATTTGACCTAGTTTTGAATCTTTACTTTGAAATAACACAACAATATTGTTCATGTATATCTAAGTGAAAGCAATTCAAAGCAGGGGATGTGCTAAATTACACTTTGAAAGTTATTTGACCTAGATTTTATTCATTACTGGGAAGTTATAGCAAAATCCTGTTTTGTGCATATCTTGGCCAATGGAGCTTATTTCTGGATTTCTACTGGAAAGTGTGATAACTTTTGGCTCAAAGTGAATGCAAGTGAGATTTTGGTTGTGAAGTTATGGGATGTGATGGAGAACACTTCCTAAGTGATTTGACCTAGTTTTGAATCATTACTTAGTAGTAACACATAAATCCAGTTTGATGTATATCTCAGTGATTTTTGGAATTTTGATAGTGTGATATCTTTTGACTGCAAGTTAGTACCAGCGTGATTCTTTCTGACATGGCAGGGAATTTTCTAAATCACACTTTGAAAGTCATTTGACCTAGATTGTATTAATTACTGGAAAGTTATATTAAAATCCTGTTTTGTGCATATCTTTGTGAAAGCTGTTTATTTCTGGATTTATACTTGAAAGTGTGATATCTTTTGAGTGAAAGTCAAAAAGTGGAAAAGTGGACAACACATACAAAAACTAGAATTTTGGATGTTAACACCTTCACATTAATGCTGAGAGTCTACAGTTAATGCACAGTTTGTTTGTTTTATTTCAAATCCACTGTGGTGGGGTATAGGGTGGAAAAGGAGGATAACTGTGTTGCTGTCCAAATATTTCTGGCCCTGACTGTATCTCAGAGATTTGGGGAATTTTGATAGTGTGATATCTTTTGACTGCAAGTTAGTACCAGGTTTTATTCATTACTGTGACGTAATGGCCAAATCCTGTTTTGTGCATATCTAAGCCCCTTCCCTCCCTGGGCAGCCACCTAATCGTGGTGGAGGGGTTTGAATGATCCTAGGAGCTATGTTGTCCAGGGCTTCAAGCCCCTGGTAGGGTCACCCAAGGCAAACAGGTCCTAGAATCAGACGAAGCGCAGCCCAAACGACCCCTTATGAAGAAAAACATAAATTGAACCAGAGTTCCCTCGCCCGGGGTCACCGGGGCCCCACCCTGGAGCCAGGCCCAGAGGTAGGGCACGTTGGTGAGCGCCTGTGGCCGGGCTTCAACCCATGGGGCCCGGCCAGGCCCAGCCCTAAGAGGTGACATGGGTCCCCCTTCCTATGGGCTCACCACCCATGGGAGCCAATGTGGAGTGGGTGGCAGCCTGGGACCTTGGCAAACAGATCCCCAGCTGCAGAATCTGGCTCTAGGGACGTGGAATGTCACATCTCTGGTGGGGAAAGAGCCTGAGTTTGTGTGCGAGGCGGAGAAATTCCGGCTGGACGTAGTTGGTCTCACCTCGACACACAGCTCTGGCTCTGGAACCAGCCTTCTTGAGAGGGGTTGGACGCTCTGCAACTCTGGAGTTGCCCCTGGTGAGAGGCGCCGAGCAGGAGTGGGCATACTTGTTGCCCCTTATCTCGGTGCCTGTACGTTTGGGTTTACCGCAGTGAATGAGAGAGTAGCATCCCTTTGCCTCTGGGTGGGGGGACGGGTGCTGACTGTTGTTTGTGTGTATGCGCCTAACACCAGTGAAGAGTACCCACCCTTTTTTGGAGTCCTTAGAGGGGGTGCTGGAGGGTGCCCCCCTGGGGACTCCCTTGTTCTGCTGGGGGACTTCAACTCTCACGTGGGCAATGACAGTGAGACCTGGAGGGGCGTAGTTGGTAGGAATGCCCCCCCCAGCTTGAGCCTGAGTGGTGTTTTGTTGTTGGACTTCTGTGCTCGGCAGAGATTGTCCATAACGAACACCATGTTCAAGCATAAGACTGTTCATATGTGCTCCTGGCACCAGGACGCTCTAGGCCGCAGTTCAATGATCGACTTTGTTGTTGTTTCAGCTGATCTGCGGCTGCATGTCTTGGACACTCGGGTCAAGAGGGGGGCGGAGCTTTCTACTGACCACTACTTGGTGGTGGTTGGTTCCGATGGTGGGGGAGGATGCCAGTGAGACCCCGGAGGCCCAAACGTATTGTGAGGGTCTGCTGGCGGAGTCCCCTGTCAGGCGGAGCTTTAACTCCCACCTCTGGGAGAGTTTCGAGCTCCGGGAGTAAGTCTCCGGTTCTGTTCATAACTTTTATGGTCAGGATTTCTAGGCGCAGCCGAGGTGTTGAGGGTGTCAGTCTTGGTGGTTGACACCAAGGTTCGCATCTCTGCTGCTTGCAGGTGATGTGGTCCCATTGGCTTCATCAAGTCGTGACCTACAGCTCTCGCTGGAGCGGTTCGCAGCCGAGTGCGAAGCGGTTGGGATGAGGATCTGTGCCTCCAAGACCGAGACCATGGTCTCTCAGTGGAAAAGGGTAGAGTGCCTTCTCTGGGTCAGGGGGGACGTCCTTCCCCAAGTGGAGAAGTTCAAGTATCTCGGGGAGCGTGAGATCGATAGGCGGATTGGTGCGGCGTCTGCAGTAATGCGGGCGCTTTACCGGTCTGTCGTGATGAAGACAGAGCTGAGCTTAATTGATCAATTTATCAGTCGATCTACGTTCCCACCGTCGTCTATGGCCACGAACTTTGGGTAGTGACCGAAAGAACGAGATCCCGGATACAAGCAGCTGAAATGAGTTTCCTCCACCCTTAGAGATAGGGTGAGAAGCTCGGCCATCTGGGAGGGGCTCGGAGTAGAGCCGCTGCGCCTCCACGTTGAGAGGAGCCAGTTGAGGTGGCTCGGGCATCCTGGTCGCCTCCATGGTGAGGCGTTCAGGGCACCTGCGTCTGGCAAACGAGCTGAATGACTTCTACTGCAGATTCGAAAAACAGTGGGACAGTCCTAACACCGACACCATCCCCCACTACCACCAGCCCCTCCCCACCTGCATCCCCACCCCCACCTCAGCAGGAGCCTGCCCCCCCGCACAACTGCCCACATCAAAGGACCCCCCTCCCTCAACTACCATGACTCTCTCCATTCAGGAGAAGGACGTATCCAGCCTATTCAGGAAACAAAAACCACGCAAAGCAGCTGGACCTGACTCTATCTCTCCTTGCATCCTGAAGCACTGCGCAGACCAGCTGTCTCCTGTGTTCACTGACATCTTCAACACCTCGCTGGAGACATGCCATGTGCCTGCCTGCTTCAAAACCTCCACCATCATCCCCGTCCCCAAAAAAACAAAGATTTCAGGCCTCAATGACTACAGACCTGTCGCCCTGACCTCCGTGGTGAATAAGGTATTTGAGCGCCTTGTCCTTGCCCACCTGAAAGGCATCTCAGACCCACTCCTGGACCCACTACAGTTTGCCTACAGAGCCAACAGGTCTGTAGATGACGCTGTCAACATGGCTCTCCACTTCATCCTCCAGCACCTGGACTCCCCAGCCACCTATGCCAGGATCCTGTTTGTAGATTTTAGCTCTGCCTTCAACACCATCATCCCCCCTCTACTCCAGGACAAACTCTCCCAGCTGGGTGTGCCTGACCCCACCTGCAGATGGATCACTGACTTCCTATCTGACAGGAGGCAGCATGTGAGCCTGGGAAGCCACACCTCCAACAGCCGGACCATCAGCACTGGATCCCCCCAGGGCTGTGTTCTCTCCCCACTACTCTTCTCCCTGTACACCAACAGCTGCACCTCCAGCCACCAGTCTGTCAAGCTCCTAAAGTTCGCGGATGATACGACTCTCATCGGACTCATCTCACATGGGGACGAGTCTGCCTACAGGTGGGAGATCGACCGTCTGGTGTCCTTGTGTGCAGCCAACAACCTGAAGCTCAACGCGCTCAAGACAGTGGAGATGGTTGTAGACTTCAGAAAGAACACAGCGCCACCTGCTCCCATCACTCTGGGTGGCTCCACAATTGCTTCTGTGGAGTCCTTCTGTTTCCTGGGGATCACAATAACCCAGGACCTCAAGTGGGAGCTGAACATCAGATCCCTCACAAGGAAAGCACAGCAGAGGATGTTCTTCCTGCGGCAGTTGAAGAAGTTCAACCTGTCTAAGGCAATGATGGTGCACTTCTACACTGCCATCATTGAGTCCATTCTCACCTCCTCCATCTCCATCTGGTACGCTGCTGCCACCACTAAGGACAAGGGCCGACTGCAGCGTATCATTCGCTCAGCCGAGAAGGTGATTGGCTGCGATCTGCCATCCCTTCAGGACCTGTGCGCCTCCAGGACTTTAAGGCGTGCAAGAAAGATCATGTCTGATCCTTCCCACCCTGGTCACAAACTTTTGGAAACCCTCCCCTCTGGCAGAAGGTTGAGAACCATCAGGACCAAAACCTCACGCCATAAAGAAAGTTTTTATCCGGCAGCAACTGGCCTCATCAACGAGGCCCAACTATTCTTCTCTCACCCCCCTCTACCCCACTAATTTACCCAATACTACGTTAAACTTTTTCTGGTTTGTCGTTGGACATTCAATATTTTATTTTAATATGTATTATTATTATTATTTATTTTATTTTATTCTATATTTTTATATTTTTATTTCTACATTGTATGTCGTTTCTTGAAGTGTTGTGCACCTTACACCAAATCAAAACCTACTTGGCAATAAACCTAATTCTGATTCTGATTCTGATTCTGATTCTGAGAAGGCCCAGAGGAAGACCCGGGACACGCTGGAGGGACTATTTGTCCCGGCTGGCCTGGGAAAGCCTCGGGATCCCCCCGGAGGAGCTGGCAAAAGTGGAAGGGGAGAGGGAAGTCTGGGTTTTCCCTGTGGTGGAGAATGGATGGATGGACGGATGGATGGATGAAGCAAAAGCTGCTTATTTCTGTATTTTTACTGGAAAATGTGATATCTTTGGACTGCAGTTAATACCAGTGACATTTTTTAGATTTTTTCTAGTTTTCAGTTCTTTTATTTCTAAGGTTTTTTTGCCATAATTGTGTGTAAATTCTGGTTTTGTTATGTCTATTGTTTGGCCTCTGACAGAGTCGAGCATGGTCAGTTATTATGAGGGTATACTGTTCAAAAGCCGGGTGCAGACCCCCCACATCCCGTTGTGTCCTAAATCCACGTTTCTTCTTAAGTGCTTCAGTTGAACCCCAAACAAGCCTATCCAGCCATGTCCATCAGTATGCGAGCCAGAGAATCCACATTAAACGGCTTGCCTCCTTGATGTACTTCTAGGTTTAGGAAGCGCGGTTGCACCAAAAGCCTCTCCACACTCTCAGCTTTTGTTTTTACACAAGGTCTTAATAACTGCCAGGCCTACATCACCTCAGCCCAGAAGGGGGTAAGGTGACGGAGAATTGATGCCGGCAGGACCTGGCACAGGTTCAACCATCCATGTCCCCCTGTAGGAGTGCACTGACCAGTCCAGAGCCTCATGCCAGGAACATTGATCCAGGTTATTGAAGTGTTTTAAGAGTAATTTAAATCTAAATGCTAATCTTTTTGTGTTTATGTCAACAAATTTTAGTCTTCTGCTACTGTAGTTACTAATCAAAGTTTTGTGTGCGGTGTGTACACCTGAGTCAGCGCCAGGGAGTTGTCTACAACTGTCCATCCATTGTATACACGGCCTCTCATTTTCCAGAGGTTGAATATTTTATTCACCTTGTCCGTGACTGCACCTCATGACCTCTCCGCTTCATGATGTTCATTCTTCCCCAGATAGATTTCGAAGAACTTAAACAATCCATCATTGACATGAACCGTGGGGAACTGCAACGGAATGGCGATCGACCCACAGCACAGACTGGATTTAGCAAGGTTAAGGCGTCCTCCAGTCCTCCTGACAGAAGATCAGCCACAGTGATCGATAAAGGCTCTCTTCGTCCGCCGCAAACAGGGAGGTGTCATCGGCAAACTGGAGGAACCATATCTGTTTCCTCCCCGGGGTGAGAGCAACAGGTTGGAGAGAGGACAGCCTTGCCTCACAGACCGACACAGCCGGACAGAGTCGGTCTCTTAGTGTCATTTACTCTAATCCTGCACGTTGGCGTTTCATAAAGGGTTCGCATCCAGCTGATGAACCTGGTTCCAAACCTAAAAGTTTTCAACTTGGCTTCTATGAATAGGGCAATGATAATTCGCAGCAAATAAGGGGAGCCACAAAGTACAATTAAACTCAAAAGAATGATGACAAGCTTCCAGCATCTGGTAATCCCAGGCGGTCTCCCATACAAGTACTAACCAGGCCCAACCCTGCTTAGCTTCTGATATCATATGCACACAGGCTATGTGCATATTACAGTTTTCACAATATATTATTATTACAGTTTTGCAATATTACAGTTTTTATCTTATAATGTGCAATATCCTACCCCAGTGTTTTTCAACCACTGTGCCTCGGTACACTAGTGTGCCGCGAGTGATGGTCAGGTGTGCCGTAGAAAATCATCCTATTTCACCTCATTGGTCTAAAAAGATTTTTTGATAAGGAATTAATTATCTGCAAATAATGTTCCATTTCTGAGTGTCTGTGCTGTTCTAGTGACTGGTGGAGTAATCATGTAATAATTCCTTATGACTAGATTTTGTCTATAATTTTATATATTGAAGTGGACGTGTTAAGTGCAATTTGAAAGAAGAAATATAAAATATGATAAAAAATACATTTTTTTGTTTATTTAATTCCTATTCAAGACACTTAAGATAAGATAAGAATAAAATAAGAATAACTATAGGGTTACTATAGGCGGCTACAGATTTGTTTGACATTTTTGGTTGGTGGTGTGCCTCGTAATTTTTTTCTATGAAAAAATGTACCTTGGCTCAAAAAAGGTTGAAAAACACTGTCCTACCCTACAATGTGCATCTTTTTCAATTTCTTACCATACAATGTGCACGATTTATACTCATATTTTACATTTCATATATCTACATACTTTATTCCTGCAATGTACATACATCCAGGACTGTGCAACTCACCTCCTAAAACAGTATGTTTTAAGTGGACATATCTTCACCCGTTGCACTGTTTGGCGTCAGCTTTAATATTGTTGTACATGTGTATAATGGCAATAAAATACATTCTGATTCTGACTAAAAAACTGTGAATTGGACATTCTTTCTTTCTGATTCTGAAGGAAGAGAGATAAGGGGAAAAATGTGCGAAGAGTGAATGATAATTAAAATGTTCTGTGAGATTTGTTTAATTTGTTGTTTAATTCACTCAAGCAAAATTGAATATACAGAAAGAAGAGCTGCTCTGACGTAAAGATGACAACTGCACAATTAAATTCCTAGTTTGTATGAAAAAAAAAAACACAACTTGCACAAAAGGAAAGAAAATTATTTTTTGACTAAACTCATCTGAAATAATTTGAGAGATTGCAGGAAATATTCAGCCTTAGGAAGTTGATCTATTTCTCAGCTGCTTTCTTGAAGTTGTGCTGCTCCTAAAATAACATGATTCCTAACCTGGAGTAGAAAGCAACAAAGAAGGAGAAATGAATTGGGCAAAATTAACATACAAGTTTTGTGATGGATGATAGAGTCATTATTGTTTACTAAAACTTCCAAAGTCTTTATCAAATCCAATCTTTTGTTCTGTACTGTTTTGTCTCTGTGTCATGTGTTCTCTAAATAGCTTGAGCTTAATCCACAGCAACTTGTTTTCCTTTTTCAAACAATATGTGAGCTGTCCTACCAGAGAGGAAAGGACCCTGGAGCTGGTGTATGCTATCATTAAGGATGATAGGATACATCTTCTCTCCCCCCTCTGGGCAGGTCAGACCACAACCTGGTTCAGGTCTGCTATGTGCCTCTGGTGAAGAGGAAGCCTACGACCACAAGGACTGGTGGTCGGAGGAAGCTTATGAAACACTGCAGGCCTGCTTTGAAGTGACTGCAGTGACCTGCATTCTGTGAGCCCCACGGAGAGGATATTGATGGGCTAAAAGAGTGCATCATGAACTACATCGACTTCTGCGTGGACTGCAATGTCCCAGCTCGGACTGTCACCTTTTATGCCAACAATAAACTGTGGATCGCCAGGGACATTAAGGCCATCCTGAATGACAAGAAGTGGTCATTCAGAGATGGCAACTATGATGAGGTGAGGAGAGTGCAGGGGGTTCTCAAACTTAAAATTAGGGAGGCTAAAGACAAGTACAGGAGAGAGCTGGAGACTAAACTCCAGCGAAACAACATGAGGGATGTGTGGACGCATAAGAACCATCACCGGGTTCCAGAAGACTGGTGGCCTGTTTTCATCAAGGGGGTCCCTGTAGACACTGTGGATAAGTCTCTGGGGCTGTATTTTAATAATAAGATGGACTGGACTAGAAACACAGAAGCGGTCTACAAAAAGGGCCAAAGCAGACTCTTTTTCCTGAGGAGGATGAGGTCTTTTAACATCTGTTAAACGATGCTGAGGATGTTTTATGAGTCTGTTGTGGCCAGTACGATCTTTGCTGTCGCATGTTGGGGCAGTGGGCTGAAGGTTACGGAAAACAGACTAAACAAACTGATCAGGAGGGCCGGTGATGTCATAGGGAAGGAGCTGTACACTCTGATGACCGTGGTAGAGAGGAGGATGCTGTCCAGTCCATCTTGGAATGTGTCTCACAGCCTCTCTACGACACACTGGCCCAGCAGAGGAGCTCTTTCAGCAGAAGACTCCTCTCACCCAGATGCACCACAAAGCGCCACAGGAAATAATTCCTGCCTGTGCTCATCAATCTCTACAATGCCTCACTCAAAGAGTCAGACACCCCGCCCTCTGTAATTCTGACTCAAAATTGTTGACATTTATGTATTCTTTTGCACTCTTTTGCACATTATTATTTATGGATATATATATTTCTTGTGTGGCATGTATATATTGTTGTATATGTTCATGTTGTATATACGTATATCTGGAGTGTGTGATGAAAATAATTTCCCTGACGATTTGAGTCAACTGATTTACCAATGAATACCTGGATTGGACCCGTTGAAAGGCAATTCCTGAAACTAAAATATGGTGAAAAGGATATGTTGCATTGTTTCGCTTGGATTATGCAAACTTTCTTTCACAGATTGAATTAACAGCAGAAAAATCACTCCATGACTCAAACCAGGTGTTTACCTGAAGTTCTGGAAGTCTGGGCAAGATGATGGTGAGAAAAATAATACTATCTTGATCCACATGAACACGATGAGAAACCAAAAAGGATGATAGGCCTCTACCCAAACTGTGTGAACCGAGCTTTTCCACTGTTCCCTCTACATATTATTTAGGGTTAAAAGGCTCTACTTGGGTTTGCCACCTGTACCAATACAGGTGAGAGAAAAGCCTGAAATGAATCAATCACAGGACTTGACTTAAGTTCTACAGTCAGTTAAGCAATTGCTTGAGAAGCTGAGCACATGCTTGAATCAAGGTCTGTTCATTATTGCTCATGATGTGAGGTTATATTTACATACCCAGTGGGTTGAAAGTCTCTCACAAGTTGGTATTGTCCACTGTATGACTTCATTCTCCAAAATCACATTTTTATCAAATTCGATGACATACAAAAACATCGAGGATGTTATCGATGGATGTTCCTACAAAATGTTGTTTCTGAGCATAAATGGATATAACTCAATGGATGTTCTTCCACTACAATTATCTTCCATTGTAAACTTGCTTTCTTGATCTCACAAAGAAATATCAGCATATGATGATATATTTGGAGCTTGCTTTATTCTGTCTTGGTGTTGAGGTCTTGCAATCTGATCCCATGTATGCTCAGTGACTGAGATTGTTTGTATTATTTTGGTATCTATGTTCTTCAGTTTAAAACAATCAGACAACAATGAACTTTTTTTGCTTATCATTATAGTTATTGTTCCAAAAAATGAATTTTATTTGAAAAAGACCATAATTAGAAGATTTTTAACAGAAATCAAGTTTCTCAAGAAAATGCATCCAATCCTACCGAGTGGTTTAAAGGTAGCTGTGAGATAGAGACACAGGTAGCTCATTATTTTCAAGAGCAGGATTGTGTTTTGTGGGAAGAACAATTCTGCTATTGCAGATACAATTAAAAACTGGGTCTACATTTGCCCAAGTAAAAGCCTCACTTTTAAAAAACATTTTCTGCCTACTTTCAAGATATGATGACTAAAATCATAGACAGTTTTAAATGTCCTTTTTACCTGAGTCACCTCATTCCACATGGTCGGAGCAGTATCTCTTGAATGATGAAAGTTTCTCTTAAACGGTGAGGGAATTTGTTATTTGTGCTTTATCTTTTCAGGAAAGAAGTTTTATTTTTTTCTAAGATCTCAAAATTCAGATCAGAGGAGTAATTCCTCTGTATGTAATATTTGAATAATTGAATAATAAAATAAATATGGTTATTTGGCAATTCACAAGTTCCAGGAATTTCTGCTTCACTTACAAGTCTTAAACTATACATATTTTTAGAGACAAATTAAGATGATCCTTTCTACAAATCTACTCTCATTTAAAGAATGTGAAAAATTGTTTAATCTTTAAATATTTCTTATACAGCATTTGGCTTTGAAAGAGTGCGTTATTTAAATTCAATTGAAAAATTCAAATAATAGATTGAAAACTGTATTGATCTCCAAGGAGAAATTGACTGTTCACTTAATACTTTATTTATATCAGAGGGAAATGACCATCCAGGGCAAGGGTGGGCAACTCCGGGCCTCAAAAGCCACTGTCCTGCAGCTTTTAGAGGTTTCCCAGCTTCTGCACACCTGATTCAGATCAAACTGATCTCTTCTAAAGGTGCTTCAGCTCTGAACAGGACTGCTGATGTTGTGTGGTTCAGAAAATGGATGGAAATGAAATGTTGGTGTAAATTGTGATGGAGAGATGAAGAGAACAAGTGAGAACAAGGGCGAGTTTTTATTAAACAGTGCAATGGCATGAGGTAGGAAAGATTTCCTGTATATGTCCCGTTGACAGCAGAGCTAAAAGTCTGTCAGAGAAGGTGCTCCACTGTCTGTCCAATGTATGGTGGAGAGGGTGCTCCTCATTTTCAACAATGGATAACACTTCATTGAGCGCCCTTCTCTTCACCACGGTCTAAAAAGACTAGCTTGAGACTTACTACAGCAGAGCCAGCGTTCTTGATGATCTTGTTCAGCTGCTGGTGTCACTGGCTCTGATGCTGCTGCCCCAACACACAGCAACAAAGAAGATGGCCTGGCAACAGTCAACTGATAGAAAGATATCAGACATTTTGCAGCACACGTTTTAGGATCGTGGCTTCTTTGGGGAATAGAGTATGCTCATCCCCTTCTTGTACACAGCATCCATGTTTGATATCAAGTCCAGTCTATTGCTAATCACCACTCCTATAGTCCTCCACCTCCTTCATTACCTCCCCCTGATATGTTGTGGCTGTGAAGGCATCATCTTCTTCCTGAAGTTGATCTCCAGCTCACTGGTCATGTTGACGTTTAACCTCAGGTGGTTCTGTTTAGTTGACTCCAGAAAACTGTCAACCAGTGCCCTGTATCCACCCTCCTCTTCCCCTCTTCTACACCCAACAACGGCTGATATATCATAAAATGTCTGCAGGTAACTCAAGAGTTGTTCTGAAAGTCAGTGGTGTATAGGTCTTCACCTATACCTATCCCTAGGAAAGAAGAGAGTCACCTGTGGCCTTCCTGTATCACCACATCAGACAGAACACAGCCCAGAAGGAAAAACTGTGACCTGCCTGTCAGCAAGTAATCCAGGAGATTACTGAACCATTGACACCATCATCTATTGCTTCTCACCCAGAAGTAGGTGTTGAATGTTGTTGAAAGCACTGGATAAATTAAATAATGTGATTCTCGCAGTGTCTCCCCCACGATACAGATGCATATGAGCCTGTTGCAGTAGGTAGATGGCTCATAAATGAGGCTGGTAAGAAAACTGCAAAGGGTCCTGAAACCTCCCCACCAGCCTCAGCTGTGCTAAGATCAGTCTCTCCAGGACCTTCATCACATGATATGTGAGAATGACTGGTCTATAGCCTGCTGGATCATATGGCCTTGGCTTCTGGGGGACTGTAACCAGACCTGACAACTTTCAATGCCCCAGGACCTAGGGATGCAAGGATTACTGCACTTTTTATTATCCCTTGAAAATAAATTTAAGTTTTTTCTGAGAACCTTAGTTCCCCCTGTGTTTATTTTATCACATTTAGCATTAAGAGCATTTATACTCTCTCACATCACCACTGGCAGTTTTGTGAAATATTGATTTCTTCAACCCACTTTAAACCCCAATAGAAATATTCCTCTCTATCTGAGTTCAAGTTTTATATATTCAGTTTATCCATCCAATAGCCTTTGTTTTTCATACCCATCAATTGCAACGCATAGTTTGGTCCACGACTGACATATGAGCGTTGTCTCATCGAATCCATTAGGCACATTACAAAACTTACTGTTTCTTTGTCTGTGACTATCCCAGAAATCCAACATTTTTGGTGATCCACCTGTAGCCATGCTGTCTACCAGATACTTGTATTTGTTGCTCAATGAAAGCGGCCACTTCTGCATCATCTGCCCACTTATCACATACTTTCTCATAATCGTGACTTAGGTATCTCATTATTGAGATAGTTATCTCCTACCAAGTTATAATTATGAGATACAAGTTTGTTTGTTTTTTTCTCATTTAACGATTGAGCTCATGATAATTATATAATGATACCAGTTAAAAATCTATTCATCTTAGCCAACTTTATACAATTTATCAAATACTCACCAAAAAATAAGAAATATCCTTAGAATATTAAATCTAACTCATGTGACATTTATTACACTGCTGTCAAATGAAATACCATTTTGGAGAAGAAATAAAAAGAAAGAAAATATATATATATTGGAAAACACAACACCCACAGCTACACTTTTAATCATGGACTCAGATATATCATCCTATCATCCTGGCTAATGATCTATATCTTTTCTCTATCTTTTTGAATAAACAGTATCCGTTTACACAAAAAAGCACACGTACAAGCTACAAATCATGGCTGCATACGAATGGCGCCGTCCAGTCTGATGACCTCTCCATTAATCATTGGGTTCTCAGCCATTGATATCACAAGGTGGGCAAACTCGGAGGGGTCTCCCAGACGTGAGGGAAAAGGCACTTGGCGAGCAAGAAAAGAGCGAACCTTTTCTGGAAGACTAGCAAGAAGTGGTGTGGAGAACAACCCTGGAAAAAAATAAAGAGGAAAAATCAATTTCCAACTATTTAACAATATAAAAAACAAACAAAAGGAAAACTATTTCAAATTAAATCTTAGTTAAATGCACTGGAAATGGAAAGGAGAAGAATATTTGTATATGAAACATTTGTGAAGCTGATTAGGGGGAAAAAAAGTTTTTTTTTTTTTTAACTTTATTATTATTATTTTTTTATAACAACATACAAACATGAATACATACTTCCGACTCATAATGAAATTTACCAGTTACATTAAACGTGGCATTGGAAGGTGAGATAGTAGGTATTCTTATCAGGTGTGAGAATGAATACAGGACATCCGAACAAAAACAACACACAAAAATCGAAAATAAAAATAATGGAAGCTTACAGTTAGATCCTCCTAGAGATAATGTGGTCCACATAGTCTTAGGTGTCATGGCATTTTAGATTGGTCCAGCAGAGCAAACAAGTGCAGGGGGTGATTCACCAATTACATCATTGGATTAGTAGCGGTGTAATAGACTTCCATCTCGTATTAAAAGTAGCTTCTTGGAGCCTTAAGGAATATGTGATTTTTTCCATCAAATAAATGTCCCAGACTTTCCGAATCCATATGTTATATGTTGGAGGTGATGCTTTCAACCATCTGATAGTTATACATTTCAATGCTGCAGTCAGCAAAATTCTTAGGAGATATCTATCAGCCATTCCGTCTATTCCATCGGGCACTACTCCTAGAATTGCCACCGAGGGGGTTTTTGGAATATTTTTCCTGAAAATTATCTTAAGGGCATCAAAGATATCCCTCCAAAATTCACTTAATTTAGGGCAACACCACAGAATATGAATATGGTTGGCATTCCGTGACCCACAGTTTCTCCAGCATAGACTGGGTTGTGTGGTGTACATTTTACTGGTTATCGCTGGTGTTCTGAAAAAACGGATTATTATTTTCCACTTGAATTCTCTCCATGTATTAGAGTTTGTTGTCAAATGTGCTTCTGTACAGATTTCGTCCCAAGCGTCCCCAGTTATTGAAGCCTGTAATTCACCCTCCCATTTATGTTTTATGTTTATAGAGTCGTGTATATTCATGGAGAGAAACAGGTCATATATTTGACTAATTACTTTATTGTTACCCTTTCCCCTTTGTATATCCATTAGGAAATTTTCTATAGGTGTGGGTTCAAGAAATTTAGTCCAATTGTCATGTGCCATCAGAAAGGTTCTAAGTTGTAGATATCTATAGAAGTCCGATTTAGGGAGCCCAAATTCATTTTTCAACAGTTCGAAGGTTTTGAGATTTCCTTTATCAATTAGTTGGTGAATATGAGACAGTCCATAGTGAGACCAGTTTTTAAATCCAGAGTCTAAGTTGTTCAGTATGAATGTCTTCATATGTCCTATATTTGATAAAAGAGAAATCTGTTTTGGTAATTTAAAGAATGATTGTATTTTGTTCCATACTTTGAGGGTGTTTCTTGTCCAGATTTACATGTCCTTTGCGGGGACATCTAAGAAGGGTAATGTTGGGCCTGGGGACCCTTACTGGACAGCTGCCCTAGTCAGGATTTAAATCTATGACCTGATGTTACAAAAACATCAGAATAAGGTTTATTGCCAAGTAGGTTATTGACTTACAAGCAATTTGCCTTGGTGTTCTACCACTACACTATCCAGCTCCTATGTGAATTGCAATGTGAATGTCAATATCTAAATAAGTCTATGTCTTGTGTTCAATACACTGTCATTAAAAGCATTATTGTTTATTGTTCTGGACCCCCTTACAGCCACCTTGTTTAATATACGTGTGTCAAGCGTGCAGGTCATGTGAGAATTGCCCTTTCCTTATATTCCCACACTAGTGACCCCAACGTTTGTCTGCTGGATGTATTCAGTAACGCTCATTGAATCTTCTTAAAGCTCCATCAGCTGCAGAGAAATTCTCTTTTCTGCAGGGCAGTAAATGCTCATTACTACAAGAGAGTAAACTGCAGGCAGTCTGCTTTTCATCTGTGAAAAGTGGATTAAAAGCATCTCTGAATGGCGTTTCCTCTGTGACACTGAAGCAACACTGAGTGTTCTCATCCTCTTGCTTGGATGGATGGCCATCATCTATTTGCTATGGCTCTGCTTTGGAAGCTGCTAATGGATCTACAATTCACATGTATGAGACAAAGACAAAGAACTTTGTTTTAGTGGACAGCTTTTGGGCTGGGACTTTGTTGTGGTAAAGATTCACAATCACCACAATGAACATTGGTCCGGCACAAGTGAATCCACAACTGACCGCATGTGTTAGGTGGCTCACAACATCTTCAAGCACAACTTAATAGCAGTCATAGAAGGTGACTAAGTTTCAACTGGGAAGAGGACACTTCAAGCTACAGGTTTGACAAGATGAGTTACAGCAAGACAGCCAGTGCTAAGATGCCAGAATATGTCAAACGGGGGCCACGATACACCATCACTAGCCTACTAAAAATGAGAACATGGAATGCTGATTAAAAAATTTCAAACTTTTGTTAATCACGCAGGATCTTTGTATGTCGTTAAGTAGAACCATAAGGATGGTTCCACAGTGTGCGCATTCAATTATTGAACATGAAGAACGAAATATGATGGCCTAGGGCTGTGTTGCTGACCCCAGGAAACTGAATCAAAACGGCTTAACGACTAACGTATTATTCTGCACTGCTTTGAAATACTCTCTGCTACGCATTTAGTTGATCAGGGATTGATTTTACAGCAAAGTAATGACCCAAAAGATAAGTCCAAGGTATGCCAGGTCTAGCTTGGGAAGAAAGGACAAGATGAATCTGAAGTCACCAAAAAAAAGCCACCTTCCCCAAGATCCTGTTAAAATATCAGTTTGGTAAAACTGCATTTGTCAGGCCAACCGGACTTAACACTGAAAATGCATCATTTTGAATTATATGAAAAATCGTTCACTGATTCTAAAAGATTAATTCAAATTCTTCAACATCCTGGACCAGCCAAAACATTTTATTTTTCAGTCAAGATCTATACAGAAAGAATTAAGACAAAAGGAGAAAGGTAGAAGGGTTTCAAGTTTAATTGACGTCTGATGCAGTCTGCCACCATCCACATCTCAGAAGTGCTGTGCTGTACACACCAGACCTCGATCAAAGTCGAAATGCTTATATTGCTCAGTAAAGACATTTTGAGATCTGTAAAGTCTACCAGACAGTGCAAAACCGATGTCATGGCACAGGGCAAAAAAGTAAGTCTACTAAAGCATCAGAAGAAGTTCTTGGACAAAAAATCTTCTCTCTCCATTAACGAGGTACCGTTTCTGGAAATCATGGACTGAGAAGTATACAGACACATTGTAATTGTAATCCCATACAACAGATGTTCCTCAGGACCACAGGAATTAACTTTGAGTACTGTGGTGCAGACACGTTGACATCTTAATAGCTATCATTGACTACAACATGACGTCCAGTCCATCTATGGTTTACCTGTGACAACTAAAGGCAGAATTTTTTTTAAGACCTTCTTTTATGCCAGTCTTGGGATGTGATACTTCCAGACCAAAATATTAGAAAATAAAAAGCTTATGAAATAATGGCAACAGTCATTGCATGAAGCAACGACTCTTGCCAGAGATGGCATCCCAGAGATGTATCTTTCCCCAAACCTCGGTTTTGCTTATTTTCTGATCTCATCGGTATTGTGGCATACCTGAAGAACATTCAAGTGAATGCCCAAATATAAACCCCAGTACCACAGTATTTGCTCTGACAGTAAACTTGTGTTGGAAGCAATGTTCCCTCTAAACAGGCAAATTGATATAAAATCTTCAGTCACAACAGAAGAAAAAGTTGTATACTCCTACAATGACAAGAACTGATTTATCTGTTTATTAATCATAAGACACACATTCAACTAAATTTGTTAAAACATACATCCATATAAATTTTGGAAAATCAACTTTAATCAATTTTACAGCATCCTCTGTTGACGTTTGTCAAAATATAGAGGATAAAAGAAAATGTTAAGATTGTGTGTGCCATATCTATATATAAAATAAACAATATACATTTAAAGTTTAGAAAGTGAGCATTTTTGTGTGTGCACTAACCAGGAGCTATTGTGATGACTCTGATGCCCATAGGTGCCAGATCTCTTGCAATGGGAAGTGTCATGCCAACAATGCCACCTTTAGAAGCAGAGTATGCTGCTTGTCCGACCTAAGAAAAAAAATACATAGGCTTAGTTAAGTTGAATGTGTTTATCAGAGCAAATTGAACATTGTTTTAAATGTTTGTTTTGAAAAATACCACCTGTCCATCAAAAGCAGCAACACTGGCAGTGTTAATGATGCAACCTCTGTGTCCATCTTCATCAGGTTCGTTTTTTCCCATCTCACCAACAGCCAGGCGGATCACATTAAAAGTTCCTGCAATATTCACCTAAACAAAATTTCAAATGATTTTTGATAAGCATTTCCTCTTCATTTCTACGTTATGTAAAATGGTAATCTTCATATAATTCTCACGATACAGATTTGAATTAGGTATACATGTGAAAGCAACATGTACATAGTAATCAATATTTTGCTGTTACAAACCGCAAATTATTTTAAACAGATACCCAGAGTTCTGTTCCACTTGTGCCCTGCCTTCTCCGTGTGAACTGTAAAGTTAACAGTCAGCACCTCTCGTGGAAATGGATTTATTTTTCCTCAATATTAGCTCATCAGATTGGCCAATTTTAGGGTAGGATTTTGGGAATACAAAGGGAAAACAGAGAATATACCCATCTTTGCAGAAGTTCAAAAGAAAAAGCAAATAACATCTGATTTAAATCTTCTGATGAAATCCCAGAGTACAGAGGCTTTTTGTTTTTCTCCTTTGCGTTTACCCTTTTGTTTCTTTTTTCATTAAACTCTAATAAGGATTACTTGTTAGAAAGATTAGTATTCTGTTGGTTTAGTTTACTACAGTTTATTACATATTAGTTTATTACATCTAGTTACTTTTAAGACAGTGAAGAGACATTATTTGTCATAACGAGGGCACCAGGCTCCAACTGCATTATTGATTACAACCTGCTAAGGATGCCAATGCAGTTCCCCATCAAGTGGACAGTCTTGCAGCTCTTAAAGCGAATGTGGTTTTCAGAGGTAAACAAAAAATATATGGTATTCATGGCAGCTCTTGGACTGGATGCCACACGGGTTCTGCAACAGTTCAATTATGCAGAGGATTATAAAAATCTTTGGGTTTTATCATTAGCCTACTTTTTCTTCTGCGTAGTTGATCGGCCATCACAATGTTCAGGGAGTCAGGTTGTGCAGGACAGATTTTTTTCACTTATATTGTTTCATACATTATAGCTATTAGTATTATTATTGTTGATATCATCATTATTATTGCTTCCATTCAGTAAAATCATTATGCATGGCATAATTTTTCACATAGACCGAAAGAAGGTGGAGAGTCTTAAGTTTCGGCCGACCTCACCTGGTCCACAAACATGTCTCATCAGTTGGGGAACGGCAACGGCAGGTCAACCTCACCCAACTTATACCACTCCGTCATCAAGAACCAATTAAATCTAACAGGTGTGAAATGTGTTTATGTGTGCTTATGACTTCCCCAAATCAATACATCTATTTATGTTAAAGCTTTTTCCGCAAGTTTTAAATACTGTTGCATAAAATCTCAAACATATGAGAAACAAACAAAAAACAACACTGATAGAACAAATTTGAAGGTGACAGGAAAAGTTGATTAAAAGCAGACACATGGGAATCAGGAGTGTTAAAGCTGGGAAACTTATAAAACCTGCAGGCAGCGGCCCTTGAAGACTGACTTTGAACACCCCCGATGTAAAGGATCATCCTGCAACACCTACGTCCCTTGGTGGGCTCTCAGCTGGAACCCCTGCAGTTTGTTTATCGGCCTGGGATTGGGGTGGTCGATGCAGTGATCTACCTACCGCACAGTTCACTATTACACCTGAAGGACAGTGGAAACCCTTAAGTCATATTCATCCAGCCACCACTGCTGGAAAGTGTTGGAATTTGCTGACACCCGGCTGCATGGATTACTGACTACCTCACCAACAGACCATAGTATGTGAGGCTCCAACACTGCACGTCTGATGTGGTACTCTGCAGCGCGGGTGCCTCTCAGGATAAGGCACTCTCCCCTTTCCTCTTCCCTCTCTACAAGGTGGACTTCACCCACAACACCACAAACTGCTACATCCAAAAGTTCTCTGATAACACATCCGTTGTTAGTTGTGTCTCTAAAGGGAACGACCTGGTAGTCCACAACGGTCATCAGAGACTTTGTTAGCTTGTGTGAGCGCAACCAGCTTCAGCTCAACACCAAAAAGACAAAAGAGATGATCGTCAACTTTAGGAGGAAGACTTCTGACTTCATACCCCTGAACTTTCAGAGATCAAACATAAAAGTGGAGGACGGCTACAGATTCCTGGGTGCTCAACTAAACAAAAAACTGGACTGGACTGTAAACCATATACATATACCATATACAAGAAGGGCCAGAGTTGCCTTCACCTGTTGAGGAGACTGAGTTGTTTCAGAGTGTGTAGGCCACTTCTGAAGACATATTATGACTCTGTGGTGGCATCAAATCAGTGCACTGTTCTTCAACTTTTCTGCTTCTCTACTTTATAGTAGGCTCCTGGACATGAATGTGAGTCACTGTCACCTCGATTGTCACCTCGACCAGGGAATATGCCATCTGCAGAAGTTCTCAGATGAATCTGTCAGTGTGGGCTGCATCAGTAGCAATTAGAAAAAATGAAGACTGGTGTGGTGTGGACAGAACTACCTGGAACTCAACAAAGGAAAAACTAAGGACTTACGACAAGAGATAAACAGGAAAAAGAGTAACTGAAATACGTGGTTTCAACAGAGTATGAATCTGATTTGTTGTGATTTAGACTTTAACTCCAGACTCTCTGTGCCAGGGATCTTTATCAGGTTATATGACCCAATGTTGACCAAGGTATGGATGTCAAAGAGATGGTCTGAACTTGTATGAAGAGAGACCGTTTTGCTGGTTGTTAATTTCTTTTTAAAATTATAAATAAGCATCACTGTAGAATTATGGGATCCATGTTTTGGGGAGAAGGTCTTATACTATAATAATGTTTATCAGACTAATGTGTAGCAACAATAGCTTATAAAACATTCAAGCCCACACACCTGAATATCCTTGACCACAAAACGTCACCAACATTGATTTTTAAAGGGTAAATATATTTTCGGTTGATTAGTTGATTAAGTGCACTGATAATAAACACCTGATTTTCACTTTTTCCTCTGAATGCATTGAAAGCAATTACATTTTTAATTTACTGCTTCTTCTGCCATAACGAAATAATTGTGGTTGTTAAGATGTACTTACATCGTCTAAAAAGCTGGCAAAAATCAAATGGCATGTTATATCAACCCACTTTATAATTCAAAGTGGGAGTACTTTTTCTAAAGTGAATGTACGCGTCTGTCCATCTTACATTGATAACACGTTGGAAGTCCTCTAGACTGTGAGGAAGGTTCTTCTTAAAGTTATATGTTTTAACAGCCACAGCTACCCCAGCACAATTAACTGCCAGATCCAATTTCCCGAACTTCTCTCGGGCCAGTGAAACAGCTGACATCACATCTGCCTCCGATGTAACCTAAAAATGACAAAGACCATTTTTAATTGAAGGATCTAAAAATGATTTTTAAATTAAATGTTCATGCACTTACAAAGTCTAGAGGTCTATATAGTGTGAACATGATGAGGATACTAAATTCTGTTGTTATAGGACTGGGAATGTGCCAGGTGCAAAACGTAGTAGGCTGAGAAGGAACAATATCTATTATGTCTTGAAAACACTTGAAAATTAGTGAAATAGTAGATTTAAAAAATGTATACAAAATACAAATACAATTAATGTAGCAAATTATGGTTGATGTCCTTGTTTACATTACATTACATATTAGTCTAAATACACTATACTAACTACATTATAACCTGATACACTTGATACACTTTAAACAGCTCTACACCTGAAATACTAAGGGATCATTGTACTTTGTGACAAGCAAAAAAACACGAGCTGTTAAAATGGTAATCTACGGCATTATCCCTTCAACAAAATCTGCTTTACACAGTCCGGCTGTGGCCAAATATTCTTTAAACGTTAGAAGAAAAAAACATGTGTTTTTTAATAACAGATTTTTTTAGACTTGACAGACAAATTAACCTCAACATAAAATATATATATCTTTCAGTACTGAAGTTACTTAAGAGTACCATCAATACTGACCAGAGAAAGTACAGCAAAAGATTTCTGAACAGTGTGGAAGGTGTAGGACTTACATCAGCAGGCGCAAATGCACAGTGATCCCCTAAGCTATTTGCAACTGTCTGTCCATCAGAGGAGGGAAGATCCACAATGACAGCAGATGCTCCACTCTTTACCAGACGCTCCACAGTAGCCCGACCCAAACCAGATGCACCACCTGTGACCAGACCTACCATACCCTTTGAAAATCAACACATTAGCACACATACACAAGGGAGATGAGCAGAGGACGAGAAAAGGTCAACAAAACTAAATAAAAACTATGCTAACTATAAAGATTAAAGAAGATATTTGAGTCACTTCACTGAAACAAAATAAACTTTAACAGAAAAAGTTACAGAGAAATAATTTCGTTGCTGTATTATTTAGTTGTTTTTCTCTCAACAATCATTATCAATTTAAAATGTAACTGACGTTGCTGTTAAAGCCAGAAATTTTCCAGTTGAGGCAACAGTACAAACCACTGTGTATTACATACTGAAATATATTTTTCTGCTCCTAATTGAAAAGGTTGGTAAATCTGTCATATTTCCTGAACATACAGTCAAGAAAATAAGTATTTGAACACCCTGCTATTTTGCAAGTTCTGCCACTTAGGAATCAGGGAGGGGTGTGAAATTGTCATAGTAGGTGCATGTCCACTGTGAGAAACAAGCGAGAGAAAAAAAGCAATCAAAATGCATGACTTTTTAACAATTCATTTATATGATACAGCTGCAAGTATTTGAACACCTGAGAAAATCTATGGTAATATTTGGTATAGTAGGCTTTGTTTGCAGTTACAGAGGTCAAACGTTTCCTGTAGTTTTTCACACTGCAGGAGGGATTGCAGCCCACTCCTTCACACAGATCTTCTCTAGATCAGTCAAGTTTCTGGGCTGTCGATGAGAAACGCGGAGTTTGAGCTCCTACCAAAGAATCTCTATTGGGTTTTATGTTTGGAGACTGACTAAACCACGCCAAAACCCTCATATGCTTCTTACAGGGCCACTCCTTGGTTATCCTGGCTGTGTTTGGGTCATTGTCATCTTGCAAAATAGCAGGGTGTTCACATACTTATTTCTCTCACTGTAGCCTATATATATTGTGGCAGGGTACAACTACGTTAGCTCAACACCCCGAATTTTACGTAATATACAGTAACTGAAAAGACAATAACTTATAGCATTTGTCACCAGTCATAATTCCACAAGACAGATATTCAAGTTTGTTAAAGTACCTCTTGCAACGCCTAATCAAGATAAATATAAATTAAGATTATTTAAGATATTCTACTCTTGAAACTGGACAAGTCAAAAGGTGATGACAGATACTCAAACGTAAAGCTTACACGAATAAAAAGTACATCTTATGAGCCTTTTTAAATAAGTTAATGTCTCATTATCTCCCCAATAGTGGCTGATAGTTCGTTAGAAGGACAAAAGAATGCTCTTGTGTCAAACTACAGGGCATGTTAGCTGTACAATCGAAGACTAAGGCAGCAGCAAAGGCTAGATATTCAGAGTGTGAAATAGCTACTTCGAAACACAAACTTAATGCTTACGTCTTACATTCCTTGGTATAGATAACATTTAATGTCAGATTTACTTTCTTTCCTCACCTTCACACACCGAATGTTCGCCATGTTTGCTTGATTACTAGTGTGACGTAACCAAAAAGCTCGTGTATAAAGAAGATGACTCACTAGACCGAACAGAAACACATACATGTGCTGGCAGCCGGTCATCATTCCAATTTTCTTTGAAAGTTAACATCGACACCTGACGTTTCACTAAATGTATTTCATATGAAACAATTTAATCTTTTTTTTCTTCAAGAAAATAATTTGGACATAACCAGATGGATGTTAAATATTGCTTATCTAACTTCAATCCACAGTGAAGAAAAAAATAATCACGTTCTTCTGTACACTGTGAGCTAATTATAATATTTGATCTCCTGTTTTGATTGACATAATAAAATGATGTCAAAAGGGGGATTGTTAGAATTTTGCTATAATTACTCATTTTATCATTGTATGCTATCGCATGATCTATGTAAATTACTGATTGTTTCATTTTCTTATAGAACCATTTCTTGTGTTGAAGTCTCTGGCTGTGCACAGTCTCTCTCCTCTCTCTTTTCCTTTCTCTGTTGCATTAGATCCACGTCTTTAGGTTAACACATACACACAACCTTTGTTACCACTTTCCAATGTCATCTGCATGAATTAGGCTATATGTTGAATTACGCTCTGTTTATGCCCAGAGGTAACTGGCCAATAGGACATGGTTTTGTACAGTCCTCCTTTGAGGAGGCGGATGAGCCAAGGAAATAATGCCCATCATACCCAGATCTCGGGGCTCTTTGTACTTTTTTTGTACTTTTGGTCTACTCTGGTATATTCTCAGGTTTCCAACTAAAGAATCGGGTTAACAATGGCTCAGGGTAAGCGACCATCTGCCTCGGCCGGTTGGGCTTGAGAGACAGAGAAGGAAAGACTGGGAGTGGGAGAGAAGGACAGAGAGAGCGGAGGGAGCTGATGGAGGCAGCCTACACAGTAGCACATAGACTGGATGAAAAATGGTAAATATATTGATGGTAATGATAATGATAGCAGTAATAATAGCAATAAGACTATTAACAGTGGCTGTAATTGTAGCAGAGTACGAACGGGCAGCAGGAGACTCCTAATCAGAGATCCAGCTTCCACAGCTCCAGAAACAGCAGCAGGAAGGGATATGAGGAGACCCCCAACCACAGATCCAGGCTCCAAAGGGAAAGAAATAAGAGGAGAGGGGAGCTTGGTGCATCATGGGAAATCCCCCGACAGTCTAGGCCTATGGCAGCATAACTAAGGATGGACTCACCTAAGCAGCCCTAACTATAAGCTCTATCATAAAGGAAAGTACTACTACTCTTAAATGTAGAGACGCTGTCTGCCTCCCGGACCCAAACTGGAACCATGTTCCACAGGAGAGGACTCTGATAGCTGAATGCTTTGGCTCCCATTGTGCTTTTGAAACTCTCCACAAGCAACCCTTTATTCTGGGGCAGTAAGGTACTCTTTAAGATAAGATGGTGCCTGACCATGAGCTTCGTATGTAAGAAGAAGGATTTTAAATTCTATTCTGGATTTTACAGGAAGCCAATGCAGAGAAGCCAAGACAAGATAGATATGATCTGTTTGACAGGTTCATGTGAGAACATATGCTGCAGCATTCTGGATCAGCTGGAGAGTCTTAATGGAAACATGTGGAAATTTAATGTATTTTATCTGCTCTCTTCACTTTTTTTTTATCAAATTAAATTAATTAATCTAATTGTGGATTCTTTTCTTGTTTTTCTGCATTTAAATTCTTTGTGAAGCACTTTGAATTGTCTTGTACACGAAATGGTCTATACAATTAAACTTGCCTTGCCTTGCCTTACGACCAAAACATTTTGAATCTGGGTTTAGAACACTGATCTAAAATTTTATCCTATCAATATGTTGGTCAGGGGATCTTAATTCATAATCATCTTTTCTTTCCTGTGGTTAGTCTAAAAAATTAGGGGGTGATATGTATAGCCTGATATATGATGAACTCTCAGTTGTCTTAAGATGGATGTACTTAATCTCCAAAATGTATGTCCATATTCTGACTCAAATAGTGGCTCAACTGCAAATTGACTAGAGATAGACAACCCCACTAATGTGGCCAGCTGGATAAAAGACTGAAACCGTTTGTGAAAACGGAGCTGTTTTCCCCCTCTGTTCTCGAACTGTAGCCGCCGTCTATCACACACAGCGTCACTACATTTCCCAGCATGCACCACAGACCGACCGTATCCATCTTTCTAAGTTCTCATTGTGTGTAGCATCATTACTTCACATCTATTATATTCTATTTTTTAATTTTGTATTCTTAAGGTAAATAAACAATTCTTTCCTTAATTTATAAATATCTGTTATGATTCCTTCATTTCCTAATATACCTTTAAGATTCCATTCATGCCCTATACTTCCAACTATTCTCTTTAATTTTTCCCTTTCAAGTTCATATGACTTACAGTTCATCAGTATATGTTCTACATTTTCTTTTTCTCCACATCTCTCACATTTATCACTATTTTTCCTCCCTATTAAATAAAGTATGTCATTTAAGTAGGTATGCCCTATTCTTAATCTACTAATTATTATTTCTTCTCTTCTGTTTCTTTCATTAATGCTTTGAATTCGAACTGACTTTTCCACTTCATATAATCTTCTTCCTTTCTTATCTTCATTCCATATTTTTTTGCCATTCCTCCATTTCTTTACTTTTAATAAGTGATTTCCCTTCCCCTTTCCCAAAAGCAATTGAAATTGTTATTTCCCCCTCTAAAGCCCTTTTAGCCAATTGATCTGCCTTTTCATTGCCTTTTACTCCTTTATGTGCTGGCACCCAACAAAACCAAACATCAATGCCACCCCTATATAATCTAAATAAAATATGATGAATTTCTAATACCAAATCTTTTCTATTATTTCCTTCTCCCTTAATACTTTCCACTACTGCTTTAGAATCTGTGCACACCACCACCCTGATTGGTCGAATCTCCTCCACCCATTGCAAGCTTAATATAACTGCCACCATTTCTGCTGTAAACACCGACAATTGATCTGATATTCTTTTATAAATACATTTTTTCAACTCTGGAATATATATTCCTATTCCCACATATCCTTTTAGATTCTTAGAACCATCTGTATAAATTTTAAGGTAATTATTATATGTATTTCTTAAATAAATATCAGTCTTTATCCCTATTTCATTTAAATTCCAATCATTTTTCATTGTATTAATTTGCAAATCTACATTAGCCTCTGGTATTAGCCATGGAGGAATAACGCTAATTGGGTTGAATTGAGCCATTTCCTTGTCTTCTAATCCATATTTTTTAATCCATTTCCTAACCATCCATCCAAATCCATTACTTTGGAACTTCACATATTCCCAACAATTTTGTAAAATATTAGAATTCACATGATCATCTATATTACTTTTCATTTTCATCCAATATGCTAGCGCTAATTTAATTCTCCTCATTTCCAGTGGAGTTTCCCCATTTTCAATTAAGAGAGCATTAATAGGTGTTGTTTTTACTGCTCCTGTACATATACATAAAGCCCTACACTGTAATCTTTCTATTTTTTGTAATGATGTTTTAGCTGCTGCTCCATATATAAAGCTGCCATAATCTATTATTGCTCTCATGAGAGCCCTGTGTATGCTTAATAATGACTGTCTATCTGCCCCCCAATTATTTCCAGCCACAGCCTTTAACAGATTAATAACTTTTTTACACTTGGTTTCTATGTTATCTATATGTGTTTTCCATGAGTAAGAACTGTCCAACCATAAACCTAGATATTTATATTCTGTTACTCTTTCTAAAGTCTGTCCATATAATGTTATTGTTTTTATATTAATATTTCTCTTCTTTGTGATAACCATATAACAAGACTTGCTTGCTGATAATTTGAAACCCCATTCATAAGACCATTTTTCTACTTTACTAATTGCTTTTTTAATATTTTCTACCACATGTTTAATATTTTTCCCTTTCATCCATATGGCCCCATCATCTGCATATAGTGCAGATTTTATACATTTATCATTATCATAGAAAATATCATTGATCATAATATTAAATAAAATTGGACTAATTACACTACCTTGAGGTATTCCATTTTCAACATTATATTCATTTGAATAATCATTCCCAATTTTTACTCTTGTTTTTCTATCTAGCAGAAAATTAGCTATCCAATTATACATTCTCCCACCTATTCCCATCTGTTTCATTTTTATAAGTAATCCTTCTTTCCATAGTGAGTCATATGCTTTTTCTATGTCAAAGAATACTATAATCATTATTTCCTTCATTTTTAAAGCTTTCTCTATGTCATTACTGACTCTAGTTAGAGCATCCATTGTTGATTTTCCTGTTCTGAATCCACATTGATATCCATTAATTAGATTATTCTTCTCCAGAAAGTATCCTAATCTATTAACTATTATTTTCTCCATCCATTTACCTAAATGAGAAGTAAGAGCAATTGGTCTGAAATTATTTGGACAGGTAGGATCTTTACCTGGCTTATTAAATGGTAGAATTATTGCCCTTTTCCAACTATTTGGTATTGATCCTTCTTTCCATATTTTATTAAATAATTCTAATATTAATTTCAGTGTTACTTCCGGAATCTGTCAAAACATAGCGTAGCATAATTGGTCCTCCCCTGGAGCTGAATATCCTGTCCCTTTCAATACTGTTTTTATTTCTTTCATGGTTATATTCATATCTAATGTTGACATATCTTTTTGACATTTTTCTAGTCAAGTTTTTGAATCATCTGCCTTCTATGAGTATCTGTCAAGTGATCACCATTATGAACAGCCGCAAATGTCTCTCCTAATAACTCTGCCTTATCTTTATTTAAAACCACTACCTCCTGTCCTCTGACTAAGGATGGAATATTAACATTGTTCTTTTTCCCCGTCATTTTTCTAAACATTGACCACACATTCTGTAAATTTATTTCTGAACCTATTGATGAACAATATTCTCTCCACGTTTTCTTTTTTGCATCCTTTATAGTTTTCCGAGCTTTTGCTCTTTTCCTTTTATAATCAATAAGGTTTTCGATTGTTAGATTTTTCTGTAGTATTTTAAAAGCTTTATTACGATCTTTAATTGTTTTACTACATTCATTATTCCACCAAGGAACTACTTTCTTCTGACCTTTCACTTTTATTTTTGGTATGCTATAATTTGCAGCATTTAAAACATGTTCTATTATTTGATTTGTACACTCTTCAATATTACCTTTTAATGTTACTATATGTCTTGTTTCCTCACATTTTGTTTTAAATTTAACCCAATCAGCTTTATTAAAGCACCATCTTATTAATGTTAACTCTTCTTGTCTATTTATATTGTCATTAATTATTGTACTCACTGGAAAGTGATCACTCCCTAATGTAGATTCCCCATTTACATCCCATTCACATGCACTAACAAGACAGTCAGATATTAATGTAATATCTAGACATGAAACTGTATTTTTATGTATATTTACTCTTGTACCTTTTCCATTATTAAGACAAACTAATGACCTTTCATCCATTAATTCTTCCACTATTTTACCATTATAATCCGTCTTCTTGCTACCCCATAGACTGTTGTGAGCATTAAAATCTCCACACCAAACTTCTCTTCTATGTATTTTCACTATTTCCTTAAATATTTCATTATCTAGATTTTTACATGGATTATAATAATTAATGATTTTAATATTTCCATGTTTCCTTAAATTAAATATTTCTATATTCACACATTCTAAGTTCTTATTTAATGAGTTTTTCTTATAAGCGATTCCTTCCTTAATTAAGGTGGCACATCCTCCACCACTACCATTACTTCTATCCTGTCTTTCTATATTATATCCAGGAATTTTAAAATCTAAGTTTGAGTTTAACCATGTTTCTTGTATACATATTACATCTGGTATTACTTGTAATTCATAAATATACTTTTTAAATTCTTGTCCATTAGCTATTAAACTTCTGGCATTCCATTGAAGAATATGAATAACCATCAACAAAGCTTGTATCCTAATCCTGACTATTTTCTGTTATTTCAGTGGCACTCAAAATGGTATGTATCTGATCTGCTTGAATTTCTTTCATATCTAGGAACCTCCCTGCTGCTGTAACTATTGCTTTTATTTTATCACTTTTCTTCTTCATTTGGACTGTAACATTAATAATATGACATATAAATGCTACAAAGTTTTCTTTTTTCACCATCATTGTATTTTCCTCTATTTTACATTTATGCAAACATGTATTATTCGTATTTGTTGTTGGCATTAATATTTGTCTCTGATCATTCAGTCCTTGATTTGTATTCTGAGAAGTGTAACTTTGATCTGCTTCTCCCAGCCTCATTCCTCTTGTACTATCTTTCTTTACTCTTTTTAATGCTTCTGCGTAAGAAACTCTTTCTGTTATCTTGATTTTCTGGGCTTCTCTAGCTTCCCTTTGAACTATACATCCACCATAGGCTGCACTGTGATCACCACCACAGTTACAGCATTTGATTTTAGCGTCTTTGTCACACTTTCCAAACTCATGTGGACCTCCACATCTTGCACATCTAATTTTTCCCTTACATTCTTTTGCAATGTGTCCCATTCTTTGACATGTAAAACATCTAAGCGGTGTCGGTATGTACTGTCTAACTTTATAGTTCATGAATCCTAGCTGTATATTTTCTGGCATGTTATTTTCAAACTGCAATATCACAGCCATAGTGTCTTTGAGTTCCCCTTCTCTTCTACTTTTAATCCTGGTGGCATTTGTTATTTTCCCTCCTTTGATTTCATTCTTCACCTCCTCCATTGTCATTTCTAATGGAACTCCTGAAATTACTCCTCTCAACCTTGCTATATAACCTGGTATATATGATTTAATTCTTTCTCCCATCAAAGTTTTCATATTGATTATCTTCTTTTGTTGCGCCTCACTACTAGCTTGAATTAGCACTTTTCTGTTGTTCATGATTCTAGCCGTTTTGATTTTCCCTATCTCTACCTCTATTGCTTTGGTTATCTTTATCGGATGAATATAACCCCTTTCTTGCTGAAATTCCACCACTACTTTGTATTCCACTTCTGTATTACTGTTCTCTTGTTCCCGTGAACTCACTCTTTGATTTATTTTCGTCCTTTTACTACCTTCCGCTCCTGGCTCATTTTCATCCGACCAACTTCTTGCCCTTTCTTGTCTCTTTCTGATTGCTCTTTTCATTTTTGCTGACCTCGATATCATCCACTCCATTTCATTTCCACTACTTCCTCCTGATGTAGAAGCCATGCTGCTACAGTCAATGTACAGCTTATGTGATCCACCAAATCAGCTCCTACCGCCTTCTTTGTTTGTTTGTTCAATTCTCCCGCTCTCCGTTTTCAGCTCGGAAATACGTACCGCTACGGAGCCAGCTTTTTATTCATTGTTCCAGGGCAGTGGACAAGACTATATTTGGACAGGGGTGTTAATGCTGGGAATAACTGTTGGAATTCTAATTATTAGGTGAATTGGGACTGTTAGCATGGTTCAACTGTCTTCATAATTATGGATGTTTTTGGGGAGAGATGCTATGGGCTCTATGATATTTGTTAATCGTGCTTTATTGGGGATTTACTTTCCTGTTGAGTTGGGCTTTCCCAATTGGCTGTGTATTGGTGGGCCTATTTAAGGGGCTCACTCACAATGGTAGGGAGGCTGCTGGGGGTTGGCTTTGGGAGAGTGCTCTGAGAAACTATATTTGATGTTAGCTTGCGATGAGGCTGTAAGTTCTTTGTATTGCCTGCAATGGCCGGTTTCGTTTTCTTTGTTTGAAAGGTTTTTTTTTGTCTTCACCATCGCACCTGTAAATAAACCGCTACACGTTTTCTTTCACTGGAACTTTGTCGTCCTCTGGTTCTTACCACCTTTTTGTAAGTCCTATGCTTACTCCTCCTCTGACGTGAGATGGGGGCTGGCGAGCCGCTTTCTCACACTGTTATTTAAAGCTCATTCTTGTCAGTTGGGCATACTTCTTTTCTGAAATATGAGTTTTTTGTTCAAATGCTACTCTGATTATATGTATTTTTTAAGCACTGGTGCCTCACAGCAAGAGAGTTCCTGGTTTGAATCCCTGGGGGAAGGGAACCTTTTTTGGGGGAGTTTGCGTTTTCTCCCCATGCCTATGTGAATTCCTTCTAGGTACGCTGGCTTCCTCCCACTGTTAAAAAAATGTTAGATTAAAAGAACACTAAATTGCCCATTGGAGTGATCGCGTGTCAGTGTTTGCCTATGAGTGGCCCTGTGATGACCTGGCGAGCTGTCCAGGGTGTAACCTCCTCTCCACCACTGCCATCTGGAATATGTCAGTTTGCGACCCAAATAGAAACAAGTGAATCTTAAAGGACAAGGAGGGGCTTTTTCATCACATTAACGTGCACCCTCTTATCACAACTGAGACTGGTGTCTCCAACTTTTAAATAATCCTCATTTGTTCAGTACGAGGAAATTTAATTTGCCAGCATTCTTGGTGTTGGGCTCATGGTCAGGTCCTGCTAGCACTTCATCGTCCTGTAGTTCCTTTCTGTCTGGTGTTTGGCTAATGCAAATTCCTTCATTAACCATCTTAGCCAGTGTAATTTCTATGCTTGCTTTAGGTATTATTGATGCCCATTTTAACTGCAAAAGGATATTACTCGGGAACAATGCTTTAAATTAGGGATATTTACGTAATGTACATCAGGGACAAAACTTAGCCATCTCACATCTTCTGGAAGAACTCCCTGTACATCCTTTTATCAGCATATTACACAAAAACACATTTTTCTTTATTTGTATTTTTTTCTGTTACTGACATGTTTAAAAAATGCTATATAATTATTCTTAAATATAAAATCAAGACAGAACACCACAAGTATTTTTTTTTACTAAAAGAATAAAATTTATTTCAGCACTGTTTGTTATTTCCCAACCAGTACAAATATGACCAGTATCTTTGTCTCTTTCTGAACCTGGACCTCTCAGCTATAAAACAAACCAAAAAAATCCCAAAACACACACAAACTAAATAAAAGAAAAGTGGTGCTTCTTCCATGCTTACAATGACAAATTATACCAGCCATAGTTATAACAGCAATCATGGTGATAAATGGTTTTAGCAATAATGTTTATAAATGTCTATTGATAACTTTGATCCTCTTTTTAGGAAATCTTTGCTGAAAAAGTAGTTCTGGCAGTTTTGCGTAATGATGCATCAAGACAAATGTTCAAGATCAATTCATTTGGGGAGAATAAGACGCAAAAAATAGCAGTCGACGTTGGAAAGTGATGATGGCTGTGAGGGTGGGGAGCGATGCAGACAGAAACATTCTGTTTTTTTTTTTAATTCAAACTGGACAATATGCGATGAGAATCTAGAGACCAAATAGATTATGACACATTGTGTATGGCAGACAACAATTCTGTCACAGTTATACTATTCTCATAAAACACTTTTATTATGGAACATGGTTCACTTTACAGATTTGAATAAATGTCTCAATATCTGTAAGTAGAGGAAGGTTACTTTTAAATACGGTTGATCATAACCCTATTACATTGCTAATTCAGAGGAAACATTTTCATCACAACACTTTATTATTTTCTGCAGGACAGAAGGAATCTTTTGTTTTTTTAGAAATGTCAGATCCTTAATCAGTAGTTTATGTTGTCGAAGGGTCATATCTAGAGCCAAGAATGTTCATGATTTATTGTTGAAAATATATAAAAAGGTTTGCAGTCTACGTTGATGTATTGAATTATTTTCTGCCAACAATTTCTGATTTCTGCTGAAACCATGATGGTACTCAACTTTACTGCTGTTCTTGAATTAAAAAATTAAAACAACTTTTGACCAGTGTCAGATTGGTGTTCAGAGAAACTCTCAACGTGTCTCAAAAGTGCAAGGGTTACATTGAAATATTACATAAAAGAATGTAACTAAACTGTAGTTTGATCAATGCGGGGGTCATTAATTACTTTGTATTGCAAATGTGCTGAATGTGTGTGTGTGTGTACATATACATAAATATATACACACACAGTTTTTTTGTTTGTGCTTGTATGTCTGGGTATCATTTGCTAAGGCATGATGAGAATCAAACAGTACAGACAATTTTACTTTTGAAAAGTTGAAAATATTTACTTACACATTAAACAAATTATAAAGTGGGATAAAGATTAGATATAAAATACAGGTAAAGTGAATGGCAATCACTACAGCTTTAAATTCTCTATGTTGACTAGGCATATTTCAGTACAAACTTAAGCAATGGTAAGAGGACTAAAATTAGAAGATGTAACAACATTAAAGATAGTAAGCCAAAAAATTAGTACAGTTATACAAAACTATCTTTTTTTTTATTCCTCAACTCTTGATAGATACATACAGAAAACTGTTTACCAATGTTAATGTAACCTTGACAGTAAGTCAGGTAAATCAGGAGTTGCGTAGCACAAAGAGAAAACCAAAAAGGTGGCTATTTGAGCAGATTTCAGGGCTAATGGATATTGAGAAATAAAAAGTAATTTGCTACTTTTAATGTCTCAGTAGGCAGGCTTTTGAATTGGACTTAATGTGAAAGCCTGTTTACTTAACCATCAAACAGTGGGAAGTTTTATTATAGGTGAACAATCAGGATTTTGGAAAAGAGAAAAATCAAAAAGTTTCAGTGCGAACAGATGTGAATAAGCATGAAAGCATTTATCTTAAACCTGTCAAACATAAACATACAAGGTCAAGTGATGGACATTATATCAAATGTTTACTATTGTTTTCCAATTTTAGCTACAATGCAACTAAGTTTACCATCCATGTATATGCCAATATGCATTTAGCACTGTGCCTCTCTGATACTTCAACATGATCTGTTTGAGAATTCCTACACTCATAAGTTTGCATGGTTAGTAGAACCCTGCAATGACCAGATGGCAATTCCACAAAACCAAAACTACACAAAATCATGTCAGCACAATGAGATGCTGCTGGTAACAAATGCAACTTGTCTGTGATGTGTCTGTTCTAGGTGTCCTTGTATCTGTGTGTTTCAATTGATCTAGTGAGCAAATCGAGATAACAACCTCTCTTAACAACAGCCAAGTCATGTTTTAACATTATACTACTGAGAAAAACATTTGTACTAATGTCAGGAAGTTGAAAGCATAAAAATATATGAATATGGAGTAATCCTATCGGTGGCCAGTGGAGCTAAATTCCTAATGGTCTTTTCTTTGCTGCATTAAATCTCAACACTGTCATCTACTCTTAACACCTATAACAGTTGTATTCTTAATCCCTACCAGAAATGACTTAAAGGAAAGAACCACTAGTGACGGTGTAAGATACAGAAGGGCCCCAGCTCTTTATAAAATAAACACAGGGCTTTACTTGCAGCTGTATTAACTGTCAAGGGTTCTTACCTTTAAAACAAAATAAAAAAAACTTATTCCATGTCAATTTTGTGGCACACATGAAGCCATTGACATAGTTCAGGAAATAAGGTGCTTCTTGCTGACTTGCCTTTTTAATATAATTAGCTGGTTAGAGCTTTTCTTTGTTTGATTAGAAAGTTTACAAAACTCATTGTCAGCATATCTCAGGCAGTATATGTTGGTTTACTGCTTTTATTCGTGCAGCTGTGCTACCAGTTATTGGCAAGATGTACATGCATCTATTTCTGTAGTTAGATGACGCTAAAGTGGCACATTTCAATCCCACAAAACACAACTGCTCCGATAAAACATTTCCACAGAAACCTTAGGTTATAAGTGGCACATTCAAATTCACCATGAAGCCTAGTTCTATTTTGACTTTTAGTTTAATTGTAGTTCTAGACTGAATGTGAAAGGTCAGTGTCACACAGCTATTACCCACACTGACACAATCCAACTTCATATTTTACTGGGCAGTGTTATTCCTGTTTTTTTGGCCTCAAGTCAATAAGGTGCCAAAGATTTGGTAGAGGACTGTCCAGGTTCATCCAGTGATGAACCTTTTCTAAGTGCTTCTTTGTCTGAAACCACACCACCATAGTGCGAGATTTTAAAATAACTCTATTTGAATGTAATTTACATGTAATTATATAGACCCTAAAGATTTAATTAGGAACGAGATACACCCTTGACAGCTTATTATCAACTACATATGGGCTTAATCAGATCCACTATATCAAACTATCATGGTAAGTGCTTATGCTGGGTCAGTACAATCAAAGCATTTTTAGAAACGAACCAAGGGGAAAAGACAATCTTGCATACTTCAGGGCTTAAGGTGCACACATTTATGGTTTCTGTTAGCACAGTTGAGCACATAGCTATGCTACATAGATCATAGTTAGACTATACACTGTTACCAAGATGATGCAAGAAGTGTTCCAGCAATATTAAATAAATCTGTAATAAATCCTTCCAAAATGTAGTTTGGGGGGTGGGGCTTCTAAGAATATTGATACGCCATTTTTCAAATACCCAGAGGCAAAGCTTTCACAAAATGTTTGTGATTAAAAACTTATAACAATTAGTAACTAGAAACAATGGCCATCAAGTCCTGCAGCCGTAAGCATTCATATCCCACATAATTGATGGGATAATTGATATCCATCACCACATCTCAGTTAGAAATTATATAAACAATGGGACCATTATAAGTTATGCTAATTCTACAGATATCTGGATAGTGGGAGAAGGCTTGTTTATTTAAGTGTTAGGCTGTGACATGGACAGGGCCACATGTTTATCTTAGTGACATATAGGATTTTCTAATGGATAGGATACAAACTCAGACTCATGGAGAAACCTTTCTTTTTTATAAAACAATGTAATTTGAATTATAAAAATAAAAGGGAGCAACGGCTAACCACTTCAGCCAATCAAATAGAGCAGCACAACAGGGGCCTTGCTTCACTTTCTGCTCCTTTTGATAATGTGTATAGCTAGAATACAAGGCTACAATAAAATGGAAAGGCAGTCAAACACAGATATCTCTCTTGAGTGCATCCTGGGAAGGATATCTATCACTCTTCCTTCTGCAGAGCTCCATCTGATGCGCAGTCATCAAGGCAACAGGGGGTCTCTTCTTCCACCCCCTCTGATTGGTTTTCTCTGCTGGCTAAGGCACAGGGGATTGGCTGGGCCAAGGGGACCAGATCCAAGGGCTGGCTAATGGCAGAAGTTACCGAGCTGACATTCACCTGCTGAGTTGCAACCACTGGACTCAAGCCTACCTCCTCTGAGAGCTTTGGGGGACTGATGGATTGGGGGGAAGACAAGCTCTGAGGGAGGGTAAGTAAGACAAAAGCAGATGTAAAAAAAAACAAGAGAGGATGTGACAAAAGGAATTTTGATATAATGTCAGAGTCAAATTTTCCCTTTTTATAAGACTTTGAACAACAACACTATTTGTGATATGCTTTAGCCCACTGTTAAGTGTCATACCTGTGATCTATCTGCAGCTGTTTTTTTCACTCCCTTTGCAGGGATCTCCTTTCCCCTACTGAAAAGAAGAGAGATATTTAAGAGTTTGCTATCGACTTTGCATTGCACTTCAATAGTCACTTATTGTCTTTAGCTGTGTTATGTTGCTAGAAGTAAAACCAACGCCATCTTGGTTTTTCAGAATTGTAAGTTACTTTAAAGTAAACAAGATGTTAAGAATCATATGAAGCAGAACTATCCCTGTGTGGACATAAACAGACATACATCTTGATTTATTATTTAATTATTTATTAGATGTAGGTTTAACAAGAGTATTTATGAAAACTTTAATCATCTACAAGTATACAGAAACACTTAAGAATGAAAGTCTGTAGGTATGCTGTCAAATTTAGCATATCATTAACTTGCATTAAAAAATAGCAAGTGATAAGGATTTCAACCTTCACAATACTCACCCTTTTCCTGCTCCAACTGACACCACCTGCATGTTGAAGACTCCTCTACCACGGACCGGCTTGTTACCAGCCCATTGACCAACTACCATTCCAGCTATCTCCAGTTTCCCTCCTTGGGGGGGAATAGACTGAATTCCTTGAGAGAAGAATTCATTTTAAAGTCAGCCTACAATAACAAAGTAAGGACCATACCCAAACATCAGTTAGTGTATAAAATCGTCAGCAAAAAAATATGTGTGTATGTCACAGCTGTCATTGGGTGAGAGTTGGGATATGACCTGGACATGATGCCAGTCCATCACACCAAGAGTTGAGAATCTAATTACAAACAAGCATGCACACAGGTATTCAAGCTCACGTTCAATTTAGTATTGCCAAATATGCATGTTTTTGGAAGGAAAGAGGCACAGAAAGGAAGAACATGCAAACTCCACACAGAATGCCGCCCATCTGGGAGTAAAAACAGGAACCCTCTTGTTGTGAGGCGACAGTTTCCTAAAAATGTAAAAATGGGTTGTGCTTTTTGTCAGTTTTTCACTTGCTGTTGATTTCAGACACCCAAATACAGGCTCCCAAATACAGTCATGGCCAAAAGTTTTGAGAATGATTCAAATGTTAATATTTACAAAGTCTACTGCTTCAGTTTTTATAACGGCAATTTGCATATCTCCAGAATGTTAAAAAGAGTGTTCAGCATAACAGCAATTAATTGCAAAGCCAATATTAGCCTAGAAAATTAACTTTATCTCCAAAAACACATTTCAACATCATTGTTGCCAAAATGGCTCCAGGGCGCCAAAGAAAGACCAGCAAGCACCAGGACCGTCTCTTAAAAGTGTTTCAGCTGCAGGATCGGGCTACCAGCAGTGCAGAGCTAGCTTAGGAATGGCAGCAGGCAGGTTTGAGTGCATCTGCACGCACTGTGAGGCAGAGACTCCTGGAGCAAGGCCTGGTCTCAAGGAGGGCAGCAAAGAAGCCACTTCTCTCCAGGAAAAACATCAGGGACAGACTGATATTCTGCAAAAGGTACAGGGGGCGGACTGCTGAGGACTGGGGTAAAGTCATTTTCTCTGATGAATCCCCTTTCCAGTTGTTTGGGACATCTGGAAAACGGCTTGTTCGGAGAAGATGAGGTGAGCGCTACCACCAGTCTTGTCTGATGCCAACTGTAAAGCATCCTGAAACCATTCATGTGTGGGGTTGCCTCTCAGCCAAGGGAGGGACTGTGAGAGAGCTGACTCTCTCACAGTCTTACCTAAAAACACAGCCATGAATAAAGAATGGTACCAGAATGTCCTTCGACAGCAACTTCTCCTAACCGTCCAAGAGCAGTTTGTTGATGAACAGTACCTTTTCAAGCATGATGGAGCACCTTGCCATAAAGCAAAAGTGATATCTAACTGGCTCAGGGAACAAAACATAGAGATTTTGGGTCCATGGCCTGGAAACTCCCGTGATCTTAATCCCATTGAAAACTAATGGTCAATCATCAAGAGACGGGTGGAAAAACGAAAACCTAGGAATTCTGACAAAATTCAAGCATTGATTGTATTTCTGTATGTGATGAGAACATTTGACAAACACACATGAAAACCAGAGGGCAGCAGATCATGTGTAAATATAATATTTGTGTCATTTCTCAATACTTTTGGCCATGACTGTACATTCAGACAAAGTAACTGACAAACACAAACATCTAACATGGTACTTTTGTTACCTGTAGTATATCGCCAACTACTGATATATGTAAATGTGAAGTATGCTTTTTATTAAAGATACAGAAAGATATTGAAATAAAAAAACAGTTCTAAATATTGCTGACTTCATTGCAATCTAGAAATGAGCTTCACATGTTTTTAACTGTCATTTAAGATGAAAATATGTCTGTACCTGGAAAAGCTCGAGATCTATGTTGGGCAGGATGATGTGAATGATGTGGGTGATGGTGAGGGGGCAAGCCACCCATGGGGCGTGGTGGGTAGAGAGGAGGCATGGGGTAGAACGGGGATGCCATGGCAGGGGAGAGAAAGGCAGGAGGTGGAAGAGGTGGAGGAGGAGGAGGAGGGCGGGACAGATTGATGCCCTCGAGGATTGCTTGGCGCATCTTCTCAACCTTTGACACCAGCTCCTCCTGTAGAACAGAGCAGCGAGAGAGCCTTGGGATGGAATAAAGTAACTTATGTAAATAAGAACACAAACAGTGATGAGATGACATTAACATTTACAATTCTTACCGTCAATGTGCTTTTAAGTAAGGTTTCAAAAATATTTTCATCTCCATGGTATACAAGTTTGTTTGAACTCTATTTCACATTTTTTTAATTTGAAGTGGATAGCATGTTACAAATTAGGTCCAATCTCTGTTGAGGTTCCAAGTGAGCTGATTCGATATAAAAAAAAAAATGTATATAACAGTTTATACCATTGAGTGTTATGAGGGAACACAGACTTTTCATGGAATTTTCTTTATTTGTTACTAGCACTTAAACACTTTTTGTTTCATTAGTAACAGTTGTTTCATGGAGCGGTGCTATGACAATCAAGTAATCCATTTTTGCTGCAGATATTACCAAAATGACACCTTCTCATTTTTAAAACGTATTCAAACTGGACAGGGGTTAGGGATCTAAGGGTTTTTATGCTAGTGAGCTTGTTAACATGATAGACATTAGCTACCTGCAAGTTTTAAGGTTTATGGACATGTTAAATTAATTCTGGGTGCCCTTTTGAAAGATTGTGAAATTCAAAGAATGTCTTATCTAAAGATACTAGCATAAAAAATATGTGTTTGGGAAACCAAACGTTTTTGCCAAAGATCAATAAAATTACAACACACTCAACACATTCTTGGATTGCCACATGAGATGATTGAAACCGATGGTTCCATTGAGCTGAAAAACTTTTCTCATTGAATCCAAACCTCTAAAGTGTGGTTTACTACTGGGTGTGCACAAATTCATTGGGAGACTGGAAGAAAACTGAACTTTTTCAGCACCAAGACAGAGAAAACTTTATCAGAGTAGGGTTCTATTTTTATTCAGGGTGGGCATCCTGGCTAAAGAAATATGACCAAAAAAATATTTATTTGATATGATGGCAATCATCATTTCATTTTTTCAATTATATTTCTCTACTATTTTATTTTGAAGATGTGTTTCTTTAAGTCAGGGATATTTGCTTCTCCATTAGTACATTAGTGAGATATTTTTCTGAGTTTAAAATGTCAAAAACGGTTTCGGTAATAAAAGATAGTGCTGACCGAACACATATTAGGGAGGATGTTTATATTAAATTATTTGGGGAGTTTATTAGTTGATCCCCCCAACCAGATTGGTGAGGAAACGAAAGTAGTTAATAATCGCCTTGTATCTTCAGCTAATATAAGGAAATTCTCTATGAAAAACCCAAGAATGACCCAAGAATGGACCAAATTGTTTGATTAGCATTGGTGGTGGCTTCCAGCTTGTAGATGAGATGATAAGCAGCTAAAGCGAGGAGCTGCCGGCTGAATTACAAAAAAAAACAAAACAAAGAAAACCGTTATAGATATAACTTGAGGATGGAAGAATATTAAATGTTGAAAAAGCACTAAACACAAAGATAAAATATGGGAGGACAATGTGTCATCTTATATTTTGCACTCATCTTATAAAGTGCAAAATAGCGAAAACCAACAGCCCAGCTGATTGGCAGAGTTACAATGCAAAATTATTCAAATAGAGAGAGGCCAGAACTGTCACGTCTGGGGTCACGTCTGGTGTCTCGTCATGTCATGATTACCCATTGTGTACACCTGGGGTTCCCTCCTCATGTGTTTAAATAGTCCTCGTTTCCCCTTGTCTTGTGCGAGTGCGTTCTAGTCCGTCCTGTCCTTCGTCACCCCCACGCCAGGTTTGTTTTTGTCACAGTTTTTGCCACAGTCTTGTCACAGTTTTGGTTAATCTTTATTTTGTTACTTTGTCAGAGTTTTGCTTCAGTCTTGTTTGCTAATTGCTTTGATACTTTGACCACAGTTTTCCACAGCTTTGATTTGTACTTTGTCTGGACATTCACTCTGTTTTTTTGTACAATAAACCTCGTTTCCCCCCATCTCCGCACCTGAGTCCTCCCTTCAGAACCCACCTCCCTGACAGAACGCACTCGCCATATTGGACTCAGCGGAGACACCGAGCAGCGGCGGCGACGGTGGCGGCCCCCCCCCTTCTGCTCTGAGAGAGCCCATGGGGGGGCTTAGCCACCATGCCCAGGAGGAAGCTGCGGCCGGCTCACCGGTCCGTCCTCCTGCCCGTGAGCGAGCCCCGAGCTCGCTCACGCCCCGCAACACCCTCCGGCCATGGAGGGCTCGCTCACCTCGCCACGCCCTCTTCGTCCCTCCGTGCCCGTGGTCGAGCCAGGGAGGCTCGCCACGCCCACGCTGTCGTTACCCCGCCGTGGTCGAGCCAGGGAGGCTCGCCACGCTCTCGTCATCCCTCCGTGCCCGTGGCCGAGCCAGGGAGGCTCGCCACGCCCACGTC